AGATCAAAAAGCCAGGTGCTGTTCTCTCTACAGGCCTCTCCTTTTACAATTTAAGTTGGTCATTGTCTGGAAAGGGCCAGACTCAAGTGCCCCAGACCCCTTCCACAAAGGTCTATTTGATTAGCCATTAAGCATACCCATGTCAGATGCTAATTAGTCAAAGAATGCTTAAATTAAATCACTGCCCTACTAAATTGTTTTGACCAAAATAGGAAACATAACAAGTACACCCACACCATATTCATATATGTATGAATACCATAATTCATACATATATAACAGATGACACATGCCACTCACAGAGATGACACATGCCAGTCAGTAAAACAAACTCAAGAAAATATGCATGACATTCCCCCAAACCCTCAACATATTGGAGGTTTGTGACAATTCTGCGAGTTATTTTACCTAGCAGCTACAGTCCGTTCACCAGTGGCAAGGGGGAGACCTCACATAAAACTTGGAAAGGAAAATGTAACATGAAAGAACAAAAGAAGAGCTCCAGCCAAACATCTCCAGAGGTTATCTGCAGCGTGGACACAAAGTAACTACACTGGGGCAAGGGCAGTTCCTGGCGATATCTCCCTCCTTTCCATTTGTAGCTTCTAGTGAAGGAAAGTATAATCCTGTCACACGTGGGGAAACTGAGGCAGAAAAGCAATTTGGCTCAGATTATACAACAGCAGAGCTGTGAACAGAGACCAGCCTTTTGATTCTCAGCTAGCACGTGAACCATTGAACCACGCTGTCATAATTAACAAGGCCTGCAGCAGAGGCGTTTGCACGTAAGCACGGCCTGGGACTCTCTATCCGGAGGGTAGTTGGGGATATGACTCAGACCCTGAAGTGAGCTCACGGCTCTTCCTAGGAAGGTGTTGATCTAAGCCTGTTCGTTCCAGCTGCGGGCTAGCTTCCCCGGCAGGAACGAGCTTTTACAATCAAGCTGTTTGTACATTTATGGCATGTTTTTAAGCCTTCTCTGGAACATCTGAATGCTTTTTGGCCTCGTCTCAATTTAGAGGCAAGCGTTATGAATGCCAGCTCTAAAGCATTCAAGTCACAAGCCCCTCCCCAAAATCAGGATTTTGCTTTGAAATCAGGAGATTGTAAAACATTGCAATCGCAGCCTTTTTGTTCTCTTGATTCTTGAATTATTAGAGGCACGTTTTCTAACTTCCTTCAAGGAACACACGGCCCGGCCACTGAGGCCCGGATTCCCCTCTGCCTTGACATCTTGCCTGCAGCTCAAGTGAAAGTTTCACGTCTCCTCGGGAGTCTGATCCAAATCCACCCCTGACTAAACATGTTTCTCTCCTAATCCTCCCTGCAGAGCTCGCTCTCTCTCCTCTTCTGACAATGGGCAGCCTTCACGGATTTTAATCCACCCAGGAAAGTATGTAGCTCTCTCCTATTCTTTCAATGAGAAGCCCTCACCCAGCTGGGCTGGTCTGGACCTGGTGGCGGGGCAAGCAGCGGGGTTAACCCAGCTGTCACTCGCCCTCCTTCCCCTGCCTCAAAACAGGCCTCCATCACAGGGGATTTGGTGGTGGGCCCTGCCTCCACATTCCTGGCTTCTCTACCAGCCCTGCAGGCCAATTAAAACAGCTCCGTGGGCCAGATCCAGCCTGCAGGCCGTATCTTTGATGCTCCAACCATATAGTGATGCTGCTCACTCTGCGGGAGACCTCAAAAAGGAAGAGGAGGGCCCAATCACCTTTTCATTCAATAGCCTAGTGCAGGGGTGGCCAACCTGCGGCTCTTCAGAAGTCAATTCAAGTCTCCTTGAATCTTTGCACAAGCACCTGATGTGATGCATCGGCTATGCAAGGTGGTCACCGTGTGCTGGTGCAAAGATTCAAAGATATTAATTTCTGAAGAGCTGCATGCGGCTCCGGAGCCGAGGCTGGCCGCCCCTGGAGCGGTTCGGCACTTCCTCGGAGCGTAGGAGACCTGGGTTCTAGATCCTCCTTCAGCCAAGTCTTATCAGAGGATCTGACCTAGATTCATCCCAGTTGTTAAATCTCGCTCGCTTGGCAGCCAATGGTGATGAGGCCAGAATAAAAGCATGCAGCTGGGAGTGCACATCTGCCCAATGGGGAAGGCACTGCCCTGGGAGGAACCAGGGGAAATCTAATTTCCCAATGCATCCACTTTTAATTTCTTTCCAAAGATGGCTTGGCATATGCCATGGTAACAATTGGCTCTTAGTTGCAATAAGATAAAGAGAGGTGAGATTTCCTGAATTCCTGACATGCTCAATGTGCAAAACATAAATGGAGGGGGGCAAGTCTCAGAAAGCGGCAAGGAGCCTCCCCCCGGGTGCTATGGCAGTGCTCGGTGCTTTCTGTTACCTGGTCCGAGTCTCGACACACTCAGCAGTTCCTGGTTATCTCTCTAGCCAGGGGACTGGTCACATGCAGCTCTCAGCTAAACCACTGTTGTATGAATCACGCCCGCTAAAATTAGCTCCTTGCAGACAGAGTAATTCCATACTAGGAGCAGAGAGACAGAGAGAGCGCGCGTTACTCCTGCTCACTTCACTGATAGCGTGCGAGGTGCCAGGGATAAGGCCTAGTCTCATCCCTGCCAGAGGACTGCATTAGAAAGGGGAGGGGACAGACATCAGTGATGCAAAAGGTGTCAAGTCGGGCATCTGACAAGCTCAGGCTGTAAGAGGACCAAGTATTTTCTTATCTCTTCTCTAGCCAGGCACCAAGGTGACAAGGACAGAAAAGCATAAGGAGAGGGAGAAAGGAGAAACAGAAAAGCAAATGGCTCACAGAGGGGTGCAGAAGTGAACAAGCCCAGTGCTTCCTTTAATCCCATGACAGCCTGTTAGGAAGTGCCCCAGAAAGACTTGAGATAACTTGGTCAACCTCCTTCAGGGAAACCTCCCTCCTCATCTAGCAGAATAATGTTGTAGCCGTGATGGTCCAGAAAACATGCTAGAGGCACAGATATGGGGGAGGGGAGGCAGGGGTGATAAAAGATATCACTCTCCCCCCCCCCCCCCCCCAAAAAAAAAAAAATCTTTCTCAAAATCCTTGTCTCTAGAGTAATCAGGCCCATTCTCACAAGGCAAGAATGACACAGGAAGAGTAGCTAAATGCAGAGACAGCTGTAAATCTGTCTGAATGATGCCCTGCTAATAGTTACCTGAGACCATAACAATCTTGCTTCCAAACAGAGCTCGAAGAATAAAGAATGTTCTCTTCAATGGCTGAATTGGAAAAAAATCTGGTTTTGGTTGAACTACAAATAATGTTCTTAAAGGTTTCAATGAAATGAAAAAAAACCCCATGTTTCACGTCGACACAAAATATTTAATTTAATCCACAACAAAATATTTTGCTCAGTATACTGGTTTCCCATTATTTAACTCTTTCAAACCAGTAAAAAGGTTTGTAAACGAGAGTCTGGAGTCAGATAGAGGGCAGGGTAGATGTACCCCTTACAGACTAAGCCAGAGATGTAGGTATGTATCTCTATCTCTCTATATATGATTTTGTAAACTCAGGCATTTTCAAATGCTAATTTTTTCTTTTGAAAACTCGCCCTCAGTTACGCCCATTCTCTCTAAAACTCCACTATCATCAAAAGGATGTCATCCAGCTCCAGGCAGGAGTGTGAGGCTGTCTCACGACCGGCCTG